CGACCGCCATCGCTGACGCGTGTGTCCAAGGTCATAAATTAAGCTGACCAAACTGACCGCTGATAGTTGAACGGCCGTCAGGTGGGGACATGACGGACACTGAAAAGGCGTGCAACACGTCTGGTTCGTGTCCGCGCCGATGCATTTGCGGCTTAAAATTTGGGCTGCAAATGCGTCGGCGCAATGGCAAAACGGACACGTTTTAGATTTAGGTCAGCACGTTGGGCCTTCATTTTTGTCCGCACCGACCTAAACGGAGGCAGCCGGACGATTTGGATGGCTGCGTTGGAGTTGCTCTTAGGGCTCAAAATCTGAAGTTAACGGCAGCAAACTCCAGATGATTAGTGAGAGTATGAGAAAATGGGTCCCTTTGCTTCATGTGAAAGATGTGCGGCTGCGGCGACTGCTGCGGCTGCATCTCTTACAGGACCAGGGAGAACATCAAGTACGGCTGCATCAGCTTCGGCGTCGTCGCCGTCGTGGTCGTCTTCGCCGTCCTCCTGGCCGCCTACGCCTTCCTCCGCCACGTCAGCATCACCGTGGAGGACGCCTCGCTGACCAGGTTTGCACTGCTGACCACCTCGGCGACGGCGCTCCATGTGAAAGTATGAGAAAATGGGTCTCTTTGCTCCATGTGAAAGAAGGTGGGGAGCGTGAAAGGCTGGTTTATCTTATATCAAAATGAAACATAAATCCGGGGAGAACTAATCATCTGGAGTTTGCTGCCGTTAACTTCAGATTTTGAGCCCTAAGAGCAACTCCAAATCTTGAGTCACTAACGGCACCTTCTTTCACATGGAGCAAAGGGACCCATTTTCTCATACTCTCACTAACGGCAGCAAACACCGCGTGGAGGACGACGAATCTTGAGTCAAGTCGTCGCGCTCGGGCGTACTTGGGAAATTGCCGAATCGGATGATTTCTTCCATGGAATATATACATGTCGGATGGTCCCAACTCCCAAGGTGTGAATAACAATGTTGGCCTATTTATAGGAGTGCTTCGCTTCCTCCATTCCGCCACAACGTTTGCCCAGACTTCAAATTCTAAAGTCAATAGCAGGCACCACCACCACCTCATCCAAGATCTGAATAGAGAAAAACCTCCGGCGGGAACGATGTGCGGCTGCGACGACTGCTGCGGCTGCATCTCTTACAGGACCAGGGAGAACATCAAGTACGGCTGCATCTGCTTCGGCGTCGTCGCCGTCGTGGTCGTCTTCGCCGTCCTCCTGGCCGCCTACGCCTTCCTCCGCCACGTCAGCATCATCGTGGAGGACGCCTCGCTGACCAGGTTTGCACTGCTGACGACCCCGGCGACGGCGCTCGCGTACAACCTCTCGCTGTCTCTCAACGTCCGCAACCCGAACTGGGCGATGAGCATCAAGAACACGGAGCCGTTCGAGGCCGCCTACAAGTTCGACGGCCAGCAGTTCGACCGCGTGCAGGTCTCTGACAAGGGCGACAAGCATCCCCCCAGGAAGACCATGGTTTACCGCCTTGACTCGGGATCAGACGGCGCCCTCGTGTCGCTGGGTAACGCCGGCGTGGTGGAGTACAAGAAGGAGAACGAGACAGGTGTGTTCGAGGTGGAGGTGGCGCTGACCCGCAAAGTGAGCTACACAGCGCGCTACACCAAGTGCAAGATCGAGGCCACCTGCAAGCTCAAGCTCAAGCTCGTGAAGCCGGAGACGACCACGGTGGTGTTCGAAAAAGTGAAATGCAAGCTAGAAAAGGCCGAGAAAAACTGCTAGATACTTCCTCTGTGTGTTTGTTTGTTTCCATTCAATGTATCTGGTATTTTTCCCACTCTTTGATGAAAGATGTGATGATACTTTTTGATGTTGTCTTGCTAATTCAGAAACAAAGTTCGATGGTACTATTAGATTCAATTTTTTTTACGCATTTGTTCAATCTCATGAACTTTAAAAAATTTCTGACCCTGCTTAAATTCGCAGCGAGCCCGAAGGCTGAACCAGGACTTTGCCGGAGACAGGCGTTTCAGAAGTTTGGAACCATCCTCTCGCAAAACCAAAGCGGAGGCGGCGGCGCTCCAGATCCAGGGTGCACGCTGATGACTCCGCCACTCCCCTTCCTCTCCGGCCGCCATCTTGGCACTGCGAGGGGAGGGGAGCCCTGGTTTCTCAGTTGGGCGTTTAGTAATCCTAGATTTTCTAGTTTTTTCGAGTTTCTTCCGTCGATATCATGGTGGGGCTGATGTCGATGGTGCTTTTAGGAATAATGGTCTTCCAGCTTGTGCTCCTGCTTGTTGGTGTTGTTGTTGCCACTAATGAGAGGCTTGTGGAGTCCAAGTTGTTCGAGCGGCTTCGATCCGGCAGTGCATCTTGGTGTGATGGCGGGGATGGGCTGTTCTTGGAGTCGAGTGGTGATGACTGCTGCAGATTTGCGGAAGACGATGGAGGATTCAGCCGCCTGTTGAAGGGTGGGTTGGTGTTGGCCCCGAATCCGGCGTTCAAGAGGCTCGAAGGGCTTCTCCGGCCGATGTTCCTTATCGGGCTAGATCCAGCCTTCCGGGATTGCTGGCTATTGCGACTCGTTAACGCCTCATGGTGTGGACCAGCTTCTGGTGTTTTTCTTCTCCCGCGATGGCGAAGATCGTGGGTGCTAGGTAGTTGTGGCGAAGGCGGTATGCAACAGTACAATCACTTGTTTCTTCATTGTTTTCTGTTGCTTGTATGTATTTTATCCATGTATCATTACTATCATGAATACAAGTAATATATGCCTACGGGTGTACAATTTCGAAAAAAGGACCTCACCGGAGACGGGTGTCGGTGTCAAAACCGGCGGATCTCGGGTAGGGGGTCCTGAACTGTGCGTCTAGGATCGATGGTAACAGGAGACGGGGGACACGATGTTTTACCCAGGTTCGGGCCCTCTCTATGGAGGTAATACACTACTTTCTGCTTGATTGATCTTGATGAATATGAGTATTACAAGAGTTGATCTACCACGAGATCGTAATGGCTAAACCCTAGAAGCCTTGCCTGTATGACTATGGTAATGAATATATCCTTTCCGGACTAACCCCTCCGGTTTATATAGACGTAATGAATATATCCTTTCCGGACTAACCCCTCCGGTTTATATAGACTCCGGGGGGTCTAGGGTTTACATAGAGTCGGTTACATAAGAAGGAATCTTCATAGTCGGTCGCCAAGCTTGCCTTCCACGCCAAGGAGAGTCCAATCCGGCCACAGGTACAATCTTTGGCCTTAATGTCTTCACAGCCCATCAGTCCAGCCCATGGATAACAGGCCGGACGCCCGAGAACCCATTAGTCCAGGACTCCCTCAGTAGCCCCTGAACCTGGCTTCAAGGACGAGGAGTCCCGCGCGCAGATTATCTTCGACATTGCAAGGCAGGTTCCCTTCTATCCGAACTTCAAGATAGTCTTCGGATGCGATGATAGTATCCGGACCTGTCGCACACACACCATACATAACCCCAGAGAGAACATATTCTTAGACAAGTCTAATCTGCTGACAGCTTTTTACAACATGACATCATGTCTGCCCGGTCACGATTCCAAACTGCTTTCATGTTTCGACGCCCCACGTCCCGGGACGCGGTTACCATTGGCACGTCTTGTCAAAGAAGAGATCGTGTCCCCTTATCGCGGGATTCTCATCAATGCGGGCATGGGTAACCCAACTGTGCCGTTTATACAGCCCTTGGGAATAGGCGAATCTTAAGGCGAGTGAGGAGGCGTTTAATATTCACTGCCTTTATAAGGGGATAATGATTCCCTCTTCCTCTCTCACGCCCTCTCTCTGTCTCCACCTTTCGAATCTCGAGCTCCAGCGCCCAAGTTCTCATCTCCTTTCCACTCAAGCAACCATGTCCGGATCCGGAGGTCAAGGAAAGTGGATGGTCTCCTCCGTCAAGGAGGATGACATTATTGAGCTTCAGGCGGCCGGATACTTGGCGAAGGAGATCACTCACCACCTGCCGACCGAGGGACAAGTCGTCCCCACGCCGAAGCCCACCGAGAGGGTAGTGTTCATCCCCCATTTCTTCCGCGGGCTAGGGTTTCCACTCCACCCTTTCGTCCGCGGGCTGATGTATTATTACGGGATAGATTTCCACGATCTTCCCCCGAATTCCTTCCTCAACATCTTGGCGTTTATCGTCGTGTGTGAGGCCTTCCTCCGCATCCAAACCCACTTCGGGCCGTGGCTCAAAGTCTTTAACGTGACGTCGAAGGTGGTGGATGGCCAGCACGCGGAGTGCGGAGGAGCCATGGTAAGCAAGCTGTCCAACGTCTCCTGGCCCAAAGGTACTTTTGTGGACACGGTAAAGGAGTGGCAGGTTCTACATCACAGAACCTCGCGGTACCACCTGGGCCGTAGCTGCCGAATTCCGCTCCGGTGCTCCCATGCGACTCACCTCCTGGGTCGAGAAGAGTCCAGACTGGTGCTCACCTAATGAGCTGATAGCGCTGTAGACGCGCGTTCAAAGCATGGTAACCAAGAACGTCAAGCTCGTTGATGTGATCCAGGTGATGCTAGTTCGCCGGATCCTTCCGTGCTAGCGCCGAAGCCGCCCTCTGTGGGAGTTCAACCCGAGGAAGCACCAGACCCTAGTGAGGCTCTTCGAGACTACCCACGAAGGTGCATGGAAGTTGCTCTTTAAGGGCAACGAGAAACTGCCGGCCGCAGATTCAGATCGCGGGCACGATGCTAAACGCCTCGCTAGCGAGGTATGTCATTTTTGATGCATTCTCCACTTGTTTGTTTCAAGGACGATGCCTGAGCTTTTATTGTTGCTTTTTCAGGACTGGATGGAGTAGGCGAAGCGGATCCAGTGTCCGGCCCCACTGCCCGAAGAACCGATCATCCCGCGTCTGGCGAAGATGCTGGTGCCGGCGCCCTATAAGGCGCCGGAGAAGAAGGCCAAGGGGGCCAAGAGTGGCCCCCGTTGCAAGGGCACTTAGGACGTGACGTCCGAAGACGACGAAACTCATTCCTCTGTTCCTGAGGACAATGGCGAGGAAGAGGAGGAGGAGGAGGAAAACAACCCTCCCCCTGAGGAGAGGAGGAAGAAGAGGGCGGCTTCGGCACATCTGGAGGCGGAAAGGCCCAAGAAGGGGAAGGGCGTCCCAGCGGTCAATACCACGGGACGTTGACAGCAGTCCGGAACGACGCCCCCGCGCTAAGCCCCCGGCCGCATCGTAAGTGACATGGCTCGCTCATGCGCACATTCAGCCTTTTCTCTTAATTATTTTGACATAGTTAACTGTACTATTGTAGTCCGGCCCACGACCTTATCCTGTGATCCTCATCTGGAGGTTCCTTGGCTCCGTCGGATATGGCGAGCATGTCGCCACCGCCTGCTTATTCCCCCGGGGCCACGGACGACACCGAAGTGTTATCCCGGAGGACCGCTCCGAACCGGGGAGGAGCCCAGGACACCGTCCGGGAGGCGCCACAAGGCGAGACCTCCACTGCCGGACACATGGGGGAGCCGATCCCCATGGAGATTGGCGAAGAGGGCCGCATCTAGTTCGACCCTCAGCCAAATACGATTCCTGAGACCCATATGGCTCCAGAGTCGGGCAAGCAACCCCCTTTGAAGGAGGGGGGGGGGGGTGCATCGCTTCCACTGGTGGCCCCTGTCCATCCAGGGGCGCCGGATAAACTGATGGAGGCGCTTCGAGGCGCCTCCGTCGTGGACGAGCACCATGTCCTTATGGGTGCGGTGATCGAGAACATTCAGTCTGCCAAAAGTGGACTGGATGAAGCCTGCAGCAGCCAGTTGACAGGTTTCGAGGTAAGAAAGAAAAAACCCCATGTAGACAGTAGCCCCTGAGACACTGTCCGGTGTTCGCCACGAAGAACTGGACAGAGGATCAATCTTTTGTTATAGGAGACTAACGTAATATGGATGGATAAGCAGGCGTCACTGTTGGCTGCAACCTCGCATTGGCTGCAACCTCGCATGCTGCCAAAGTCTCTGAACTGAGGCAGAGGCTGGAGCGGACCGAGAACAAGCTCGGCGAGGTTAGGGTTCAGCTCCAGGAGAAGCAAGGTGAGTGACGAATTGCTGTGTGTTAGGAAGGAGTACGTGCTGTATATTGACCGCGGTGTCGTAATATGTGCAGGAGCCGCGACCGAGGTCGAGGCCCTGAGGAAGGACCTGGGCGAGGCCGAGGAGAAGGTTGTCCAGCAGCAAGCCGCCCATAAGATGCTCAAGGCCCGGGTCAAAGAAGTCCAGCAGGAGCTCCAGGATGCGGTGAAAAAATGCGAGGCCTTGGAGCATGATGCGTTGGTTCAAGGGGCCGAACTCGCCAGGGCTCGTCAGAGCGCGGAGACCGCACGGAATGAGGCCTAGGCCGCCCTCCAGGAGATCCAGGAGGCCAAGAAGATCACGGCGGGTAAGGCATTTAAGATGCAAAGCAAGTATGCGGAGAAGCAATAGCTTTTACTAACCCAGGTTCGGAGTTCCCCAGAAGCTTTTGCGGATTTACCACGCAGTGTATCAGACGTCGCGGAGTTCTATCGAGCCGAAGGAGGGGGTTCTACGGAGAAGCTATTCTGTTTGCAGTATGTGGCGCCAGAGCATCCCGTGTCCTTCACCAATCAGCTGAAACAGCTGGTGGAGCTGCATAGGGTGGCCGAACTAGCCATTAAGGATTTGATAATCTGGCTATGGCCAGCCAAAGCTATGCCAGGCAACTACTTCGGACTCGTGAGGCGGATGGTGAGCGCCTGTCCTTGGCTGGACGTCGTCA